CTTCTTAGTATTCTATATAACGACATATTTATGGACAAAGAATCTATGATAGTTTAACTTTTTGTTTGATAAAATGTCTTGTTCTCTCGTAAGACTTGGTTTAGTACTTTGTCAGCGTGCGTTTTAAGGGCTTTAATTAATTATATGTTATCGTAAGCCTACATAGCTCCTAACATATATAATAATAATAATGAAAAGCCTGTTCAATTTCCAATCATGACAGGAAAATGATAAAATACAGCTTAGATTTTTTATGTTATTTTATCTTGTTATCTTATTTATCCTGTGTCCTAGCTACCTTCAGTACCGTCGATCAGAACCCCTTCACGGGTAAAGGCCTCCTCCAGATAAGAAAAACACCATTGCTTTAAGTGTAAAACAAAACTGGATCGTCAATTTTGCATATTTGTACATGCCCGGTTTACTTACAATATTTGTATAACCGTTGTGAAATTATTCACCTCTTATAGAAATAACAGCCAGACACAGCCAGCACAGCCAGAGTTTGAACGCATGATCATATGGTAAATTAAATACGTATTCAGATTTAGATTGTAATTGATAGTAAATTTTAATTTGTTACTAAAGAAAGAAACTCGCAATAGGCGTAAGTATGTCCATCCGCGATTCTTTTAAGGTATTTCCGAACCAATTCGACTTAGGGTCCTTCAAGAACCTACCAATTCGTAAAAGGCAGGCTCTGTCATTGAGAGTTTCCATGCTGCCTGTAGCCGTAATTGCATTTCTTGAAATATGGATTAATTGAATGTATTGGACATGTTTTAGGTTTAAAATTATAAGATTAATTTTTAACCTAATCTGTAAATAACAAAAAAAATACACCTAACCAAGTCCCAAGAGTAAATAAATCTTAATATAAATTCTAAGTACTGTCAGTGCATTGTTCGAAATTAGATATTGTTTTAGCATATCAATTTCATAGTGTATGTCTGTAGGTAACCGGGTAATTTATTGCTACACTTGAATAAGTAATCAGAGCTGGGTTTCAGGCGAGAACCTCTGTGGAATATGCAAAGCTTAATTCTGTAATGCGTGTCAGGATATAACACTGCAGTATGCTAAACTTATAATTAAGATACAATATATATAATAAGATTCCGCTTGCATTAACGTGTATATGCCTTATGTTGGGGATAAAAAAATGTTCTTCCAGCCGACTCACCCATGATTTATCTCTTTTCCACGTAGTCCTGGAATGCGTGGGGCTTCCCAACGAACAGAAATCCTCGGAGCAGTGAGGTCGCCTCGTGAAGCCTACAAAAGGAAACTTTTGTGCTTCTGGAAGGACCTAATGAGAGTCTAAGTGGAAACTGAGTCGAAAAACTTTTTTTTTTACCCCACATGGGGATTAAACCAGGGATCTTAGTCGAATCTGCTAGCTATTAATCAATGAGGCAGTTTATTAGTTTATATACTATTTTATATAACCAAATAATAAAACATTTTTCAGGCACGTGGCACCGATGTATTTCCGAAATAATTCGACTTAGAAAAGAACGTACCAATTATTAAAAGGCCGGCAACGCACTTGCAATGTCTATGGGCGGTGGTATCACTTAAAATCAGGTAAGCCTCCTACCCGTTTGCCCCCTGTTATATATATTTTTTATTTACAAAAGAATTATACTTTCAACTTGCGTTTCGACTAAGCATCGAACCTGATGGCGAAATTGGCCCATTTAGGTTACTAAAGCACTACATTAATGTTTCAGTAAAATTATTAACATCTCATAGCATAATCATGCTTGTGGAAGATATTAATAAACTGCTAATTCCTAAGTGACCAATGACCCGTCGATACTTAAGAGATAGGCCCTTCGTTGTAACAAAAGCACGATTAGTTGGGACTGACCGATATCAGGAAGTATTAAACTCGTGAGTTCAGTGAATACGTTTGATATTATATCACAATTTCATTATACTTGTTTAAAACTAATTTAGGAATTAGTTCAGGTAGGTTTGAACCCCGGCTGTGCACCAATGGATAAGTACTATGTGCATATTTAATACGCGAACTCGGTGAAGGAAAACATTGCGAGGAAAGCTTAGACCCAAAGAGAGTACGGCGCGTGTCACAGAAGGCTGATCACCTACTTGCCTATTATAAAAAAACAAATGATCACAATAAACAGTTTGTGAGGCCCAGACCTAAAAGGTAGCACTGGTGATTTTAGTTCGAATTAAAAGATTTGTTTTTCTCATCGAAAAGTCCATTTTTTATAGAAAGCTCCTTTGGGCTTCAACAAAAATTTACGCTTAAGATTACATGCATTGAGAGAGAGGTTCATTTACCAAAATCAATTTAGTTTCAAATACTGAAAAAGAGCGTACCAATTCTTAAAAGGCCGGCAACGCACTCGCGACCTCCTCTGGCATCGAGAGTCCATGGGCGGCGTATCACTTAACATCAGGTGAGCCTCCTGCCCGTTTGCCCCTGTTCTATAAAAAAAACTGAAAATAACAAAAATAATACCACAAATACAAATCGCGTAATAATTTCTTGGCAGTAAACGCTAGATACAGCATTAGATAAGTATTGTTACAATTTCTAATAAAGTTCATCACAACACTTAAGCCGAGGTAAGAGCGCTCGGTTTAATTAAAAGTATTGCGAAGATACACCGACTATTTGTATTATAAAGTTTATTATAACAGAAAAGAGTAGTTAATATCGCGTGTAACCTGATAGTGTATCATATTTAAAGATTAGTTTTACTTTTTGATCAAAGCCAGCAGCTGACGTACTGGCATAGGACAGGGAGCGGTGGAAGTTTTTCATTTTTGTGGCCTTAGTAAATGGATTGCAAACAGAGTGAATGAGAGAGCTATATTATATTCTTAGAGGAGTTTTGCGTGTTGACTAGATCACCTGATGTCATTTTTGATGGGACGTTGGCGTGCAGAATACATCGCCTGATATCACTTTGACGCGACGATATATTGCGTGGAGACTACCTCACCTTCTTTCTTTTTTATTCGGGTGCTTGAAGGCGACGGATCTGACGGATAAATCATCTTCTATTGATTGATTTTTTATTACCATAAAAACTAAGGGGGTGAGAAAGTATAACCTCACTGAGGCATACTTCAGCTCAATAAAGACTTTTCTGCAAGACAAGGTAAGAGATAAAAGACAAGTTTGACTCGCGACCTTCATAATTGAGTTTGACATACAGGAATCATACTCAATTTTAAATCGTACGTAGAGCCTACGTCAAAGTGGAATTCTTAAGCTGCAGGAAAGCACTTTCAGGTGATATGAGACCTCATTGCTAATAGGTCCGTGGAAACACATAATATTGTCATCTCTTTTTGGCTATAGAGCTTTTACTATAGAGCGTCAAGCTTTTTGAAAGCGCCCCGTGTTTATTTTTTCATATAATAAAATCAGTGGTCCTACAATGTCTACGTATATGTCTGGGCCTCAGATTTCTGTATCAGTTTTGATCATTTGGTTTTTTTTCAAACAGCCTCACGAAAATCACAAAGGCCATAAAGTTTTGCCGCCATAAAGTAGCTCATACGGACAGTCCTCTTTTCATTTCGAATATCGTTTAATTACATTTAAATGATATTCCAATATTCAATGAAAAATCCACTTTGCAATAAAACTTTTATCGAAATGTAAAAATCTTATCAATTTTTGTTCGGTTTATGATGTTAGATCATTTTTCCATTTTCCGTCCATAAGAATATTTGGTAATGATTTAAAGGTAATATTTTAAATTATTTTATTTATCTTAGCTATAGTTATGTATTGTCTTTTATTGACATAACCTTTACACATTTAAAAAAACGGTGACCACGCACGCTGTAAAGCACGCGAAACGTCGGATAAATTTAAAATTATGTTAAATAATTGTAAATTTATAAAAATAAAAACATTAATCCAGTTAAAAAGTTTTTTCTTTATAGTTATGATTCCTCTCCCTCAAAAAGATAGCTCATGTGTGAGCGTCGTGGTCAGCAAGTAAGCATCTGGAGTCGACAATCTGTTTCCACCAGTATCTCCATCGTCTCTCTTATGACAGTGTATAGTTTTGAAGACGTTGAATCTTTCACTTGACCAGTCCATCGTGTTGGTGAACTTGTGCCTTCTGTGTAACTACGATCAGTATCTCCAAGTTCTCATGGCCTCCGGGCGTTGTATGGCCGAAATAAGATACAATTCGCTATCGGCATATTAGAGTTCCTAAGCAGTTCGTTAATTATTTCAATACAGGTAATCTCATATTACTAAAGGTAATCTTTAAAAAACAAACTAAAATAGTTTCGTTTGATTATGTTCTCAACTAAAAAGTCAAAAACTTTTCAATAAAATTAGCTTTGTTTTGTTATATACTTCGGATTCAATTCTATATTTAATAATATGGATTACAAGATATGACTAACAATTTCACGATTATATTAGTTTGTAAATTAAACTTCCGTTAAAATGTCCTATTCAAACAATAATTCCAAGATGGTTATATCTATATCGGCTTTGTTTGCCAACCGTACCCGAGGGGTAAGTGTCGAGTATACGTTAACTGTTATGGTTCAACTAACTGAAGTGGTACGTATAGTTCCAGTGAACTTAACAAAGGAAGCACACTTATATATGTAAAGTCAGCCAAGAAATTGTTTTATCGCTTGCGTTGTTTCTAAACATATAAAGTTGACTATCGTGTATTCGAAATTCGAATTGTATTTCTTACCAACAGATCTGAGACGTACATTGAGAAATGTGTTACGATGTAATATATCAATATCAATACCACCACCGCGGTGGTGTCAGCTGATATTGATTTATGTCTGAAAGCTCATTGTCAGAGAGCACTGGTTTATTCTATTTGGCAATTTTACTCGCTGTGCAAATATATCTATTTTATAGTTCATAGTAATAGTGATTTCATAGATTGAATTGTCACGAACGTTATTTTTCACAGATTCCAGATGATCCAATCACCGTAGCCAAGCAAAATCAAAATCAGATAAGATTAAAAATCCGGCTTCACCAGGGAATGCTGGTCTCCAGTGAGCTTGAAGCCTGAAAGGGCAGTACGCCTTTCAGGCGTTTGACTACGCCACAACGGCCTAAGTCGAGGTCCGATTCTCGCAGAAGATGCCCTTGCTAGTAGCAGGAAAAAACCCAGCTGATCTATGCTCGCCAAAACAGCCCGTCTGTCAACACCCTTCAGAGCAACAGCGAAATCCATTTTAAAAAATTGCGACGCTTTGGTTTTTTGAGCAAACCAACCAGAAGCCTTCAAACACTAGACCCTAATGTCGAAATTAAAGGCCTAAATCCCGACAAACTAATTTTTGACGTCAGCAATTAGATGACAATATTCATATCATTCCAGTTTCCACCTAATCCTGGACCTTTCTTCACCATTATTGTGGTGCTGCCCTTGTTCCTCATTCCTGTGATTCCTCGTCTTTAATCTCTAATCCGTCTCACTCTGTCATATATGATAGCATATTTATTTCTTAAAAAGATTTGGTTAAAAGGTTTGGAGAAGCACACAGCTAATTGAACATTCATCATACAGAGTAGACGTGAAAACATTTCATAATCCTTTTTTAAATTATATAATTGTCTTTTTTTTATTAAAATCCCTTGAACTTGTACTTAAAATCACACAAGACCACATTATGATACTATTTAATTATTATAATTGATTAATAAAAACAAAGATGTCTAGAAAAATTTTGTTCAAAAACTTGCCTCCGTCGAAGTTTGCGCTGGTGAGATGAGATGGTACTGAACATACATTGTAGATTAAAATTTATCAGTGTTATGCTTGAATTATGTAGCGTTGAAATATACCCACGAGGTTAAAGTAACATAAGAAATTTGTTAAGTTTGTTTAGTTTAAACTTTAGGATATAAATTTACCTTTTTTTTTAATAACTTTATTCATATACCTAGGTAAACAAGTACACTTATGAACGTTAACAGAAAATATGTTAAATTGGAAATATCTGGAAATGTGTGTATATGTGCGGTAGCACTTGATATCAGGTAAGCGTTTGCCCAGTGTTACAAAAAACAGTGATTAATTACAGCAATAAAGGCTTAATTTTAATTTATATTAATTCTACTCAAAAGTCTTAATTGAATAACTAACGGTTTTATATCTAAAATAACCATTATTATTAAAATTAATATTGGTACACCATAATATCATTATACAATTCAACTCAATAAGTCTTTATTGAGTTGAATTTCGGCTATAATTACCTACATACATCAACATGTTCTTATAACATAAACTGAAAGTAATTACTGTATGTTTATTTATTTGGTAAAACATATCAGCGTACACTAGTGTAGACAAGCAAGACCTCTAGCAAAAGAAAATAAGAATTAAAATTAATTTTACTTTTTTTTAAACTAAACTAAAATTGTACCATGAAAATTGAATTTAATAAAAAATTTAGTACTTCAAACTATCATATTCATTAGCCCTCAGATTTACATACCTTCATATTATTTGTATGTTTTTTGTCTCGATAGTTTATTGGGAATTTAAATTTGTACTGTGTTTTTTGGTGTTTTCTGTTTTTTTTTTAGTTTATATATATAGCAATAAGCAATAATAAATATTTAAAGAAATTTCAACTTTAATTAGACGATACATTAGATTTTCTGGCATTATTAATAATAACACAGACTTCTTTTTGGAGTGTTTTAACCTAGTTGATTCAAGAGTTATTGCGCGTTACCCCGTTAATGGAGTTTTAGTTTGCTCGTAAGTTGAAGGATACGTCTTGAAGCTAAAAATCGACATGGACCTTGCGTGTTGTTCCCACGAGAATGTAAGTGCGTGCTCCTATTTCACCATGCCTCCTGCTCATAGAGGACAAGTCTTTGTTTTTAATTTATTTTATTATTATTAATTACTTAAGAAGTCATGTGGAACATGGTGTAATGGTTGCAGCTCCTTACAAACATTGTGTAAAACAAAAAACTTCGCGATTAAAATGAGTGGTGGACAGTTTATTGCCAGTTTCTCTTCCGTTCTACGCCCTTGAACTGGCAGTAAATGTAAAATTAGAATCATTTAATATATTGTTACGAAGACGGGTCGACTAGTGACTACAATGTTTCTAGATTTTTCCACTAGTTAGAGAACTTTTCAGCAGGCTGAAATGTGATTTCTGACCGTTTCAGGAGAGGGTCAATCACATATTAGAAAATCGTAATTTACATAATGTCACCCTAGTTTTCAGGAGCCTGAAACATTTTTTCAGGCCGTTTCAGAACACGTGTAGTCGAATGGTACACTTTTCAGGAAACCCGTTTTCAGGCGTTTTCAGGCCTGGTTATACCCCTTTGATGAAGGAATGTTCTAGAACGAATTTTCTAGGTGTAGGACAAGGACGGAATGATACGCGAGAGAGAGGGAAGATCGGAACCTTCTCGAAGCTAGACCGAGCACTCTAGAACGCCGTACGACAAGGACGGAGCAATGTGCGAAAGGGATAGCTAGTACGCACGTTCTAGAATTGTGCGATCGCTACTCAGTTGCGCTGCCGCCTAGAGAGTTCTCGAACATCGCTCCCAGGGATATATAAGCGAGCCGAAACGCGACCAGTTAGTTCAGTTTTGAATGCGATACCAAGCGATAAACACCGGAGTGACAAAGTGCGAATATAGTGCAGAAAAGTGAATACGAGTACTGTGTGAAGTGCGTGTTATTAGAGTAATTAGTGACAGTGTTTTGTGTGTGTATTTAGTGAATTTTTGTGCGAAATTTCCAGTTTTTAGTGTTAACAAATTCCTCGTAGATTTAATTGAAAATAAACCCTTGAAGAGATTTACGGCGTTTCTATCCGATCCCCTAGCTCGTAACATTTTGGTGTCAGAAGTGGGATAGAAAAATGCCTATTACTCCAAGGGACAATCGTGAGGAGTTTGTGGCAGAGTCTGCAGCAGGTGCGGGGATGCAGACAAAGAAAACTGAGACATTAACATCCAAGTTTGAAAACCTGGACAGTAGGTTATCTAAACAGGAGAAACGCTTGCTTGAGTTAGAAAAGGAGATTCAGTGCCTTAAGATATCTGGATTTGTGGAATCATCTGGACCGCTGGCAGCACCTACCTTTAATGGTTCTTCTTCTTGGAGCGCCTACAAGGTACAGTTTGAGGCTCTGTGCAAGATAAACGGTTGGAAAAATAAACAGGCTGTGGCTGCCCTTATGTTGGGACTGCGAGGCGAAGCCCTGGACGTGTTAGAAGTCATGACAGGTGAAGTGACACTGACGCGACTGCTGGATGCTCTGGAGTCACGTTATGGGGACTCACATTTGGAGCCAGTCTATAGGGCTCAATTACGGGAGAGAGCGCAGCGACCGAGTGAGAGCTTGCAAGAATGGGGTCTAGAAATAGAGAAGCTGGTAAGGAAAGCCTACGCATCCTTACCAGATGTAGCAGACAAGATATTAGTGCAAACTTTTATTGATGGAATAAGAGATCGTGAAGTCAGGTTGAGTGTGAACCTTGGTCACCACAAGAACCTGAAGGATGCTCTAGCCCATGCGTTGGAGGTGGAGGCGATTCAGAAAGATTCTCGACCTTACCGCATTAGGGCTGTCACGGAAAAAGCTAATGTTCAACGTGGGCCAACCTGTTACATCTGTGGGGAAGTAGGGCACATGAGGTTTTCGTGCCCTAAGAAAGACTTCCGATGTGATGTGAAGGTTAAACGTAGGAATACATTAGTCATCAACGGTGAAGTCAATGGAACTAAGTGTGACCTAACACTAGATACTGGATCTTCACGAACTGTAATCAAATACGATCTTCTGAAGTCATTTTATGGAAGCCCTTCTCGAGGAATTGTTCAGCTTGTTACAGCTACAGGTCAGCGTATAACCGATCGGGGAGAAGGTATCGCAACCTTCAAGATTGGTGGAAGTTTTTACAGATACAAGGTTGTTCTTGCCGACATAGTAGATGACTGCATAATCGGGCTAGACTTTATGAAGCTGTACAATTGTAAAATAGATCTGGAAAAAGGAATCTTTAAGTGTGGAGAACAGGAAGTTTGCTTAAAAGGACACTCTACAAATAGTGGTTATGACTTCTGTAGAGTTATCAATGTGGATGGACAGGCCAGTAAGCAACAAGAGTGGAACGTAGTGTGTAAAGTTACTGAGACCTTTGAGAAAGCCTTGACAAGACACCTATCAAAGGCAGAGGAACAATTAAAGAAACTTTCTGACATGATATCTACCCACGAAAGAGAACTAAGAAGAAGTTCAGATGTGTCTCAACAACACTGTGAAAAGGTCAACAAACAGGACGGAAGGGAGATTGGCCATGTGCGAATTCTTAGAACAGACACCATTCGTTCAGATTGGGGTGGAAAATTTATGCAGATAGCACAGCAAGAAGATTGTGACATTAAACCAATTCTGGATTGGATGAAATCTTCAGCTGTCAAGCCGCAGTGGAGTAAAGTCGCATCTACAAGTACCACTACTAAGAGTTACTGGGCTCAATGGGATAGTTTAGTTCTACATAATGGAGTGTTATGTCGCAAATTGAAAAATGCTCAAGGCGATCATTTGCAGATAGTTGTGCCAAGATCCAAGGTTCGCGACATATTGGAAATGTTTCATACTGACTTGTCTAGTGGACATTTAGGAGTAAAGAGGACTCTTATGAAGATTAAAGAAATATTTTATTGGATACACTATCGTGAAGATGTTGAAGACTGGATCAAGAAATGTAAAGATTGTGCAGCTATTAAGGATTCGCAGACTCGGTCTCCATGGGAAAGGATAACGGTGAATGAAAGTGATGATGCTCGGGACGAGCATGTCTAAGGAGGGGGTAGTGTTACGAAGACGGGTCGACTACAATGTTTCTAGATTTTTCCACTAGTTAGAGAACTTTTCAGCAGGCTGAAATGTGATTTCTGACCGTTTCAGGAGAGGGTCAATCACATATTAGAAAATCGTAATTTACATAATGTCACCCTAGTTTTCAGGAGCCTGAAACATTTTTTCAGGCCGTTTCAGAACACGTGTAGTCGAATGGTACACTTTTCAGGAAACCCGTTTTCAGGCGTTTTCAGGCCTGGTTATACCCCTTTGATGAAGGAATGTTCTAGAACGAATTTTCTAGGTGTGGGACAAGGACGGAATGATACGCGAGAGAGAGGGAAGATCGGAACCTTCTCGAAGCTAGACCGAGCACTCTAGA